GAACGTTTTTATAGAATATATATTCTCTTTGAAAATGATAATTAAGAATTACCAAATTTTTGAAAAGAGATTTTGATATGTTTGTGAAAAAAACTTCTCAAGTTTATAACAACAAATATAATTATTCTTTTGAAATTTTTTTTTTAACGCAAGACAATTTGAAAATAATAAAAATATTTTTTAATTCGAAAGCAACAATTTTTTTTTGGGACAATTACAAAAATATCACTTTTTGTGTGTATATTTGCAATAATACCACTTAAAAGTGTCCATTTACAAAAATACCACTAATTATAGATTTATTGCCACTATATAAATCTAAATTTTTTTTGAGATTTGCCACTTTTCATCTGTAATTACATCTATCCAATCAATAGGCTACAATAAGCGGATACATTTAAGTTTCGCACAACCAGGATTATTTTTTTTATTATATTGTCTAATTAAAGTTGGAAGACAAAGTGTCTTCATTAGTGTACTTTGAAACAAAGTAATACTAGAATTTATTAAAGTTGATCTAATTAAATGATTTTATAAAATTTTAATCTGGTCTTCGCTGGAGTAAGTTGTCATCCTCCAATTCCTTACCAATCATCAAATTTGATTTTTGGCCTTTCTTGGAATCATCTTATTTTCCTTGAATATTCATATTTTACTTCTTTTTTCTTGATAAAATCATATTTTTCTTTGAATACACACACATATAGACGAATATTTTTATATATGCATGTATCCACACGGTTTCATGATTGATTTAAATCAGATTGCATATATCACGTTGGATCCATTTGCCAATAAACTAAAAGAGAGAAAAAAAGTATTTTTGAATTTATATGTATTAGAGATCTAAATTTTCCTTAAATAATACAGTATAAACAACCATATTTCTCCTACATAATCAAAATAATGAGACGTCTTTGCTTTTCAAAAACTTAACCAAAATGAAAATGTAGAGTTTAATAACTTGACGATATTTTCTTAAAGTGAATTTGAAATATTCTGATCTCATCCATTTTTTTTTTTTTTGACTATATACAGAAGTATAATTAATGATTTGTTATTTACATTTTAAAAAGTTACTTATTTGTAATCAAACATTTTAAAACACACAAACATCTGAATTTTTCAAAAGTACAATAAACTTTGGAAATAAAAAAAAAAATTAAATGATCTATAAACTTTTGTCAAAACATTTTTAGAAAACCTTTTCTAAACCTGCAATATGTAATATTTTCGATTTTTTTTGGATTCAGATGATAAATGTCAGTTTATGGTATTTTAAGATATTTGTATCTTGTTCTATTGTTAAATTTCATATTTAGTTATGAAAGCTGGAAAATAGATCCACTAAGAATTGGACTTTTCAGACCAAGAAAATATACCTGCCGTC